TTTTTTTTGCATCATTTCTTCTTTTTAACTTCATTTATGATTCCATGTTTATTTTTTTAATCATTAACTAGTTTACATCTAAAGTTTCATATATGTTCTTGAAACCTTTTATCGAACCTTCTTTTGATTGCATCAAGCACTTTTTGTAATACATTATCATCTCCTATTTTTCTTCTAACTTTTTTTTTTTTTTTTTAAGTATAAGGCCTCTAATCAAATACCATCTTATTTCTATTTTTTTTTATTTTGAGTTTTTTCAAAAACAAGATCCTTAACATCTTCTTTGTTTAACAGTTTTCCTTCTCGTTCTTCTTGTTATAGTACTTGAAGACCTTCTTTGCTTACTTCGTTTTTAATAATATTTCAAATGCTTTGATATTCTCTGTATTTAATAAGGTGATTTAGATCTTCTGCTTTGTTTCTGTATACTATATATATATTCAACATATATTTATCGTTTTTTTTTATTTAACTCCATCAAAGTTGGCAATAAATCACCTAAGCATTTGATCTGAAATATCTAATTTTGTTCTTTTTTCCACTTATACAGTTTTTACCTTTATCTCTGTCTATCTATTTCTAAATTTCTTTTCAATTAAGTTCCTCTTTTTCACTTTTATTTAACCATCTACTTTTTTTATCTAAATCTGTCTATTCTGCATCTAATGCTGCTATTGTAACTTTATTAACTACTTTTCTCATTAGACTATCTATAGTTATATTTTTCTATCTTGCTGCTATTCATAAATGTTTGGTCCAAGACCACTTCACTATTGCTAACATCTGATTTTTTGCTTCTTTTTTGGCTAGCTTGTTTGCAATATCATTATAAATATTTCTGCTATGTTCTTTCACTTTTTTTAGCTGTACTTTTAGGCCTATAAATAGTTTTTAAAAATATCTTATTTTTCTTTTTTTAATTATATATATATTTTTTAAAAAATTTTATATAATTATAAAAGTTAAAATATTTTAGAATTATTAACCCAATTTTTATTTATATTATTATTATTAGAATTATAACAACTAGCTCTACAACTTTATTAAAAGCTTACAAAAAATTATAATAAAAAATTATTTTTATAATTAGAAATAATAATTTCTTTTATATGCTGTATATATGTAATATAAATTTTATTTTTAAAATTCTTCTTTTGTAAATTATTATATCAATTAAGTGATATCAAAAATATAACCCGTAAAAATAGTAAATTTGAAGCTTCTCTTTCAGATTTTACGATTTACTTTTTTAAATTGTTTATTTAGTAAAATATTAAAGGTTAAATTTACAGAAAGTGGTTTCTCAAATTTCGGACCAAATATAATTTTTTCTTTGGTAATATGAAATTTTGGCCAATAATAATAGATACACGTGATTAAAATCTAATAAATTTTCAAAAAGTTTGAAAAATTTTGATGAGTATAAGTGACGTGACCCACAAAAAAAGATGAGAATGTAATATAATACGCTTTTTTTAAAAGTTGTTCAGATCTAAGAATTACCAGCCAATGCAAAGCTGAAATAACTGAAATTAACCAAAAATATGCGGATTCAGTTAAATTTCAGCAACAGCTGTCGATGTTTTTTTAACACCACGCCTACATAAAAAAACGTTAATTCTTTAACAATTCCCTAAGATTTTAAAAAACTTAACCAGATAGTCAATGTTGCGAGTTTTTGCTTAAATTTTCAAGAGCTGACTCGAGAACCAATTTCTGAATTTATTAAATTTGCATGGCCTAATATATACCACGTGATAAGATTTTTCGTTCAATTCCAGTTTGTTTAATAAAAGATCTTCACCCTTATACGTAATTTTACGCACGGTACTTTCTAAATGTATAAAGTCATGACTTTAATCCGTCGATAAATTCAAGAAATTCAGGTGATTCAATAATTATATCACGTTATCGTTATGTGATAATCATAAGTTGTTTTGTATAATTATAGTAATTACATACAAATTGATCGTCCATCGTGATCTATGATAAAATAGATTATAAAAAAATTTCAGAACCGTTCATTGCTGTTTTAATAAATACATAAAATACAAATGGCGACTCATGTGCGAAGAAAAGCTATTAGCATAGATAAAAACGAAAAAAAACGTGAGCATGAAGCTAACAGTCCTGAGGTTATTACACCTATTCCTGTTAGACCGGCTATATCTCAATTAATTACTGTTCGACCAAGAGTTTCACCTCGTAATGTTCGTAGTTTTGCAAAAGTAAAAAAACTTAGATTTGACAAGCCTGACAATATTCCACCCAATGATGATAACTGTCATTCCGTAGTCAAGAACTGTTCTCCTGTGTTCAATAACAGTCAGCACGTAGAAAGAAGCAATATCAATCTTCCAACTATTAATAGAAATACTCTCGTCACTCACTTGGATACAGAGGATTCGATTGCAAAGTTTAATGAAACAAGTTCCGCTCGAGAAATAACTCGAGTAACATTAACAAGCTTTGTTAAAGTTGGTGGAAACAAAGAGACATCGCTGAATACACCTATGATACAAAGTAACAATCCTCAGACTACACATGATATTATTACACATGATGCTACACATGATACTACACATGATACAACTGATAACAACATCACGGATAACATCACGGTTACCAAAATCAATGATTACAATGCCACAATCAAAAATAATGACGACTCCGCATTGAATAGAAACGAGACCAAAGATAAAAGTAAACCATCAAAGAATAAACATGATACGCAAAGTAAAGAGAAGAATGGAAGTGAATCTTCATTAAATGTCAAAAATGATAAAAAACAATTTCCTTGCCCAGTGTGCAAAAGAAGTTTCTCTCGCAAATTCAACATGCAATCCCATCTCAAGACACATGATACTGACCGTGTAAAACCATATGCATGTACTTACGAGTCATGCAATCTTCGTTTCACAAGAAAACATGATCTCAAACGTCATATTAATGGTATTCATAACGAACAAAAAGAATTTTTATGTCCTCATTGTAATAAAAATTTTTCTAGAAAGGATGCGTGGAAGAGGCATGAATTGACTTGTGGTTCCGAAGAAACAAAAGATGTTGGAAAAAGGAAGCATATTACAAAACCATTACCTCAATTATTGCCTACTCCATTCACTAACCAATTGGATAATTCTCCATCTATAATTAAACGTAGAGGACGTCCAAGAAAATTAGTAATTAATAATGAAACTGATTTAATTGTTCCTAAAAAAGATGTTACAACTGAATTTAAAGTTGGAAAAAAAGGAAGGCCAAGAAAAATACTCAAGATTGAAACCCCATTGATTGAATCGACGGAAGAAACCAAGGTCGAAAAAAGCGCCGATCGTATGGATGGAGTTATTTCTAATCATACGAGCGAACTTTCACTTACAGAAACTCGATCAACAGAGACGTCAGTTGATAATCAATTAGTAAAATCCAATCTCGCGTCTACCGCTGATGTATCACCTATCAGTCATCCTAATAGTATGATCACTGAAGCTAGGAAAGACACAAATGGTTCGATTGATTCTTTTAACAAAGAAAGCGATTTGATTTCTTTTAAATACCATGATACTTCTTCGACCATTTCTTCTATTAACGAAGTAGACTACGCAATGTCCGAAGAAATGACTGAAGAAGCATTCGGTGAATTGTACGAAGAAACTTTTGGAGAAAAAGCAAAAGTATCGAAGGAAGGATACTAAGTGTACTTAGGTAATCCCTGTGAATTTTAATCTACAAAATACAAAATACTTATAATACTTAGAATGCTTGTAATATTTGTAATAGGTTTTATTTTTTTCAGATACGAAATTTTGGATTTTTTATATAAACCTTGCAGGGCGATTTTTGAAAAAAAAAATATATATATATACATTCTTTTAGCTTTTTATCTATGACCAAATGTTATTTTATTTGCTCTTTTTTTTTTGTTTTTGTTTTGTCGCTGTTTCTAGTTTGACATCTTGCACATCTCAGAATGATAAAAAATTTTGTTGCTGTTGCTTGTTGATACCTTGCATATCTCCGGTGTTTTAGGTCATATTCAACTCTATATAACCAAGGTGGTCTATATAGTAAATTTTATAAGTCATAACAGGTCATAGGGTCATAATCTATAATTAGCCAATAGGACATAGGCAAGCACTGCATATCTCAGTATTAGAATGATAGAAAATATTCACAAATATAAATTGTTTAAGTCGATTTAATATCATAAAGACGAATTTAATTAGGTATAATCAATTTTCTTGCAGTATTGTTATAAAACTTGATAAGTTTGATATAAATAAAAAAATTTTACGTTTCATAAAGACCTTATTGCATAATTAACCGTCATGTTCTGATTCAAAGAACAAATCTTATAAATAAGAGCAGAACAAGTCGGAGACTACAAGAAAAATTACCATCACGTTGTCGTACGCGAATGATACCAGGTTTACATAATACATTAAACAATAGTTTTTAACTTGAGAAAGTAAACAATTAGAATGATTATATCTAAACAGGTTCCTAATTATTGAATAAATTAACATATTAATAAATTCAAGGTTTAAAATTTTCCGAAAAAAGCGTGAAAGTCATAATTATTATATATACCGGGAGTTCTTTACTTTGTATTCGAAAATAGCGTTCAAGAAGTCCAAGATCATATAATTGGTTTCGCATTAGGATATTGATGACGGTACCCGGAGAGCCATACCCTCCACAACAACAAATTCTACAGAATTTGCGAGCATTAACACGTTTAAAATGCATAAATGAAATGTTAAAAATTGTAAACTTACCGATCATGATAATCTTCTTTCTTGTATGGTAGATCAAAATGAATGCTATATTTGACTGGTTTAAATGAAAGCACCGCTGCAAAGCTATCCGTTGTGACAACAATCGCTGGATTTGATGATTGCCAAAATGATTTAACAATATCATGTCGTTCAGATTGGTTTGTCATAGAATGCTGGTATATACTTTTTTTGTAAGCTTTTTTTTTTTTTTTTTTTGCTTTAAAAATTTTTACCTTTCAACTTACCAATGGGAACACTTCAATATTTTCAAATAATGTGGATAATTTATCGGCCAACCAGTCGACTCTTTCTCCATTGTCACAAAAGATAATTGACTTTCCCATATCCGATGTTTTGTAAAGTTCACAGAGAGAGTTTAGCTTTAATTCTTCTTTTTCTACAAGTGTATAAAACAATTCTAATCCTTCACTCATGTGCACATCGGTGAGAATGATATTGGCGTTGGGCGTCAATATTCGTCTAATGTCGGCAAGAGTGAAAGTTGTGGCTGTCGTCATGAAAACTCTTTGTGCTCTATTTGGCGAGCTATGGATGATATCTAAAGCCTGCGTACGAAACGTGCTATTAAACATAATACATGAATCTTCAACAACAATCATTTTAACGTCGCTGATATCAAATCCCCTTCTTTCTGTCATTAAATCGATTAAACGGCCTTCCTTGAGTTGAATCACGTGCGGAATAAAACGAATTAATAAGTCCTGTAAAAACGTTCAATATACTTGAAACGCCGTATGGTAACGAACCTGGTGTTCCGATGATTATTTGTTGTCCTCCACTTTTCAATTTTTCAACATCTTGCCTTACAGGATAACCGCCAACACAAACGGTCCACGAAATTTGTCGGTGCTTGGCCATTACTTCAATAAGGTCTTGAATGGCAAAACATAGATCTTTAGAATGCACAAGCACAATTCCTTGACAAGATTTAATACGTGGGTCTACATGCTGAAGCAGACCGATCAAATATGTTAAAGTTCTTTCTTCGGAACGAGGCACCTGAATAATGACGTCACGACGTGTTAAGATTGCTTTGATCGCACGTTTCTGGATAGAAGTTGGTTGATCATACCTGACATTACCAAAATGGGTAATGGATAAATTGATCTGTACTCGTATTTCAATAATAGATTAAATTTTCAAAACATACCCCAGGGCGCGAATTCCCCTTAGCAATTCGGGCCTCAATTTCATTTCCTCAAAAGTGGGTACTGATAAATTGTAATTATCTTGCAATGTCTCACGTGGATAAACATTTCCAGGTTTCCTATCGATTCTCTCCTTACTGCCACTTCTATAAACTGCTCTATTTATCTAAAATAAAAAAAGATCCACGGTAAATTGACCGTAATTAGCCGCACTGAAATTGGTATTACAAAAAAAAACTTACTTTATTTCGCGCCGGCACTCTTGGTGGAGGCTGTGATCCAGGCTGTGTAGGTGCCATCCCTTCCCGAATAAGCGCATGGTCCTGCTCTTGTATTTTTTTAGGTTGGATCTCCTGTGCAGATTTTTGTTCAATTTCAGCCTCATTAGATGAGGATTCTCCTTGGCTCTGACTAGCAACTTGCTTCTTCCTCGCTCTTCTAGATTTTTTTCTCTCTGCGACAGACATTCTTTTTTTACTTTTATCACCTGATTCAATTGAATGATTATGAGATTCATTACCAACAACCTTTATATTACTTGTTTCTTTTTCAGAAAGCTGTTTGATATTCGTTAAATCATTAATAGGTTCGCTAACTGATCCCGTCGTTTCTACCATAGGGGAGAGTGTCGGTGATATAGGAAAACCCGAAACCCCATTAGTTACGATTTTTGGCGCAAGTCTCTCTTTTCCTTTTGGAGGCACAAGAGTTGAAATAGCTTCTGTTAACTTTGCTATTTGAACTTGTATATCAGGCAAAACGGCCAACGAAGACTGAATATCTTGGATAGCTTTTAGTAAGTCTGGGGTTTCCGTCATTTTTTATTATTATTATTATGTTTTTTTTTTTTTTTTTTTGGACTTTATGAAAATCAGAAGAGAAAATAGATTAATAATTTTTTAAGAATTATATAAAAATGTACAACATATTTATATATTTTACCAAATTATATCTTGTGACTGCTGATATGACGCTTCTATAAAAGCTTCTTTAAACAATGACATAACCATGACGCGATGACTGTATTTATACTCTGATACTATGGTGATAATATATACCTTCATTTATCAACGCTCTCATTACTTTCTCTAATAGAAACCGGAGTTATAATTTGTAACAATGTGGCGCATTGCACTAATAACACATCCGTTATATCACATGACTTCTGTTTTTGGATTACTATATCGAAATGAATTATTGTTATTGTTATCTTTTTTATTTCAACAATCAATCAGATTGCTGTTTCATATTTTTATTATTTACCATATCTTTAGTTTAATGATATACAATACTGTGTATTACTTAAACAAGCTTATACGCATTATATAAAAAGAATTTTAAAAGTTTTTAATTTAATTGATCTATTGTTTATATATAATTTGATTAAAAAAATATTTATAAATTTAAGTAATTTTTGTATAATACAAAAAGTTAATTTTAAAAAATCTTTTATTTTATTTTTTTTTTTAAAAAAAAAACTTTTATTACAGTATATACTATATATAATTTTTATATAGAAAATAACTAATAAATATCACAACACCACAGGTGATAGTTATCTGTGATTTACAATATATAAACAAATAAATAAACAATTTAATAAATAAAAAAAAAATATTTTTTTTAGGACTTTAGAATAAGGGTAAGAGCTCATATTAAGGTTAGAGTTTAGTAAAGTTTATAGTAAAATTTCACAAGAAATTTTTTTATTTAGAGCTTCAAAAGTGGTTCATTAGCAAAATTTTAAGATAATTTTACTACAGGTGATAATTATCTGTGGTATAAATTAGAAATTTTTTTTTATATATTTTATATATTTATATATGAGTTTTAGTTAGAATAATCAGTAGTAATTATCATTAGTATATAATTAGCTAGATAATAATAAACTAAAAAAAGATTTCATTTTATTTAGAGTTAGGGTAAGGCCTGAAATTTTAACAAAGTGGTAAATATATACAAAATTTAGCAAAAAATTTTTTTGTTAGAATGTTTTTTTTATTTATTATTATTTTTTTTTTTAACCTTCGCAATGTCGTGAAAGGGCGAATTTTTATTAGATATTTAGTAGTACATTCTTAGTTAATGAGAGTACATTCTAACCATACTTGCGCCTATTGAGTGCCTAATTAAGTAGCTATCTATTACTAAAGTCTATACTAAATGCCATACTGTATCTATAACCTACTATTACTTGAGCTATCCAATTAAACTCTCTGATGTCCCTAGTCCTGCACCACCATCACAATTATGCCAATCTATAACCTCATGCTGCTTTATTAAAGACCACCCAGATCAACATATGCTACACTACTTGCGTTCTAATTCTATAGATAACCTAGTAGGGTTCTTATACTTACTGTATTACCCTAAGAAGGGTGTAGTATATACTTCTAAACTTTTCATATTCTACATATTTTCAGACTAGGCCTTTTTGGTAACTTATGCCAAGTCCGAAGATAAGTATTTGCAAGCCAAGGCTGCTATAGTTACTTACTACTGCCTTTGTAGAGTTCACTCAAATCCTAATACCTACTTTACAGACTCTCTCCCATACCTCCAGAAACTCAAATTCCTAATCCGATAACCCAGAAGAGCGGAACCCTTCTTCCAGTTATCTGACAGCCTGGATAGTATGATGCCTTGCTAAACATCTCGGTCCCATCTAGTTTTTCAGTATCTGGTTAATCATCCTTTACATAGTAACTATTAAAGATCTGTGCTACCTCTCTACTCGGGTCTTGTTAAGCGAGCTCCTGTATCTTGTAAATTTGCTAAATTTATCCAGTAATTTCACTCAGGTTTTGTATAACTTATACATCACACTATATATTCTACTACCTTCCAGTACAAGCTGGTACAACCACCATTACAGGTTCTACAACTCAATAAGATATAGTCTTCCAAATACATTTTCTATAAATTCGAATTTTTATCATTAGTGGAATTCAAACTCTAGTCCTGCTGCTTAGGGGTATGACAACTTGCCAACTTCACTAAGTCGTCACACCCTTTTGTTAGAATGTTAAAAGTAGTTTTATAAATAAATTCTTGAGATATTGGTATTTTTTTAAAAAAAAAATCTTTATTTTTATTATATATATTGATTTGTATATTATATCTGATTCTGCAAATTTATTGGTTAATTATATATCAATAATATTTACAATTAGTTATAGTTACTAAAATAATTTATATATAGTAGAATTTGGTTATATATACTGTATATATATTTTTTAGATTCTACTAAAACATATTATAATATAAACAAATTTTTATTAATATTTTTTATATATTTTCTTAAATTTTATTATCTCTTAAACTATAGGCTTTTCCAGGCAAATTTGCCTGGAAAATTATCATAAATATTGCTATAATCTACTTTTTTTAAATTTTAATATATTTAAATAAAATTTTTTTTGATAATATTTGAAAATAAGGATTATATTATAG